GTAGGTCACATATACAAAATATAGGACCTGAGGTTTGTGTTCGAGGATGTGATATAGCCCAAGGGCCGTAGGCCCGAGGGCTATATCACATCCAAGAACACAAACCAAAGGTCCTATATTGTGTATATGAGACCGTTCTAGCCTACGGTATACTATATATGATATATGGCATAATGATGACAGCATTTCTGCATGGAAGGTCTATATACAAAATATAGAACCCACCACATCAAAGGAATGATGTCATCATTGTGCTATATATATATATATATATATATATATATATATATATATATATATATATATATAGCCTGTAGTTACACTTGCGACCGCGATCAAAAGCTTTGATCTGCATAAAAAGACCTTTGACACCTTGATCTACAGGCTTGATTTCCCTTGATGCTTGATTTGATGATCTCAAGTGCTTGCACAGCTAATTAAAAATTCATAGAACTGCATAATCAAAGATATACGAAAAATATGCATATCCTGATGCCTGCTACAGACTGTCTTGATTCCTTAATCGCAACCTGATTGTCCCTTTGATGTCTTGATTTTGATTTGATCGTATTTGCAAGTATATAACTACAGGCTTGATGGAAATGACTAGTATAATATTAATTGTAATTGTTATCTTAATCACTATAATTAATGTCCCTTTAATTACTGTATAGTGGGGTTTATTTTGAGGCTAATAATTTTCTCGAGTAACCTGTATCCGGAGGCTCAAAAAATTAATTGTTGGGAATTTTCACTATTCTGCCATCTGTACCATATTAAGTTGATTGTCAAGGAATTTAATTGCGCAAATTTTAAAAAATCCACAAAATTTGCAAAATTTTGTTATCCTCAATTAACGGTATGTTGTGCATGTAGGAGCTATTCAACACAGAGTTTCTTTTTTCAATTTTTTTGCTATTAAGAAATAAACAGCCAGGCCTCTAATTGGTAAAATACGGTAGTTTTAATTGAGTATAGTCCTCGTAGACGGCTGCAGGGTCGGGCTTAGTCAGGCAATGCCCAACCAAAAATTTTGATTGGAAATGAGAAATTAATTAATGACATCATTTTTAGTCATGAAAAATTACCATGTAGCTAGCAAGAGAGTCTTTTTTGCTTTCCTTTGTCAACAAGCCTTGGAGGACCAGGACTGGCACTTTACAGGTTGTATGGAGCTTTACAGGTAAGATAGGGGCTTTTGAGGTACATGTGTATATTTTTATGATATATTATAATGTATATTTGCATTACATATATGCCCAAAATATGTGCAAAAAAGAGTGGGTGTGGTCAAAATTACAGGGCTCTTCACAAGCCATTTTTCTCGCCCAACTGCTCTATCAATCCTGCTGCCGTTTATGATAGTACAGATCCTGCCATTTTGATATTGGCCTCTAATAAAGCTGATCCAATAGAAAGCTGACAATGATATAAGAGCTGATATTCAATAGAGTGATAGAAAGAGTACATGGTAGGTTCATGTACTCTTGGTTGATAGTCAGTGATTTTCTGGATATGTGTACTGTAATGATGTAAATGTGCATGTACATACATGTACATGCACATTGTATTTATAGAAGTTTTTAATGGGCTATAGTTTTAGGTACAGCAATTGCATTATAAAAAAGTTACATTACGATCTATGTGAATGCCTGCAACTTGACATGATAATAATAAGACTTATTCATAAATATTGGAATTAATACAGGCACGTTGATTTGATGCGCAGCTAGATCATAGTACTGTGATTGTATAATTACATGTTTTCTTGTATAACCTAAGATACATGTAAATAAGATAAATTTTAGGTCAATATAACAGTTTTAGATTGTAGTGACACATCAGGCCTGGAAAATATTTAACTTCTCATGGCATTGCCTCTCGAATTGGATTTTTACTCAAATGCTCTTCAAAAAGCATTTTAAAACAGCTGCTATGGACATAGACAAATCCTTCTCATTTAAATTAGTTATTATGAAGCTATAATTCATTGGTCTGTGTCTAGTTTACACAGCAACAGCAGTAGCCTTTTTATGTTTTATCTCCATTGGCAAGTACAGGCAAATTAATGCATTGCCCTATTGATCGCATATTCTAATTAGTTACGAATAAGTCTTATTGTGTCGATATAATAATAATAATAATTATTATTATTATTATTATTATTATTATTATTTATTAATATTATTGTTATTATTGTTATTAGAAACTTGATAAAAGAGGAGAGGATTTATCAAGGATTGAGAAACGAACAAAAAAGCTTGCCACTGGTGCTGCTGAATTTGCTTCTATTGCTGAGATGTATCGAAAGAAAAGGATTGAAGAGCAAACAGAAAAGTCTGCCACTGATGCTGATATCAGACTTTGCTTCTGTTGCTGAAAGGCTTTCTGAGAAGTATTGAAAGAAAAGATTTTAATTCATTGAAATTGTAAAATAAATTTAATGCACACACATACACACACGCTCAACTACATGTATGTTGTTATTGGACTCGCCACGCTTGCGTAGGCGGGTACTAAGCAGTTGGGTTGTCATTCTGTCATTCTGTCCACACAGTTTAATTGATTTGTAAAAAAATTATCTTTTTGTCTGAGCAGTCTAGAGCTCTATTTCTTCTTCTAGCAACAGATAAAGTTGCTTTCTTTCATCTAGTTATGCTCTTGTAGCATCCCGTGGCACCAAAAGCTGTGAACTGCTAAACCAGGGGACCTCTCTCCAGGTGAGAGCTCGTGTTTCACTCTACAGGGCCGAGATTTGCTTCAGAGGTAGAAAATCCCATCTAACGAAAAAGAAAAAGAACGATTTTGTCCTAACTTCGTTGTTTGTGAGTTACAGTTGCTCAAAGTTTGTGATTTAGCCTCTTTGAGAATTTTTCAGGCGGCACTGGGGAAAGCAGGAGCAACTAAATTCTCTCAGTCTCTTTTAAATAACTAGAAAGATTTTCTGTGCCAACTCTTTCTTGGAATAGAGCTTCAGATGCTAAAATAAATTTCAGCTTTTCTTCTTTCTCCTACCCATGTACCATGATAGTCTCGCTGGCCAGACTTAAGAGTCTGGTGCCATGCCTATTGCCTAATATCAACTCGTGTTTTCAATGTTTTGATTTGCGTGGGCAAAGAATGTTAATCTCTATAAACACGCCCACGCACCACAATATTGCGGATTTATTATTTTTATACTGATTTTATACTTGCTTGTATACTTATTTTATATTTCATACTTGCTTCTTGACATCAAGAAAAATAAAGCAGTCAAGTACTTCTCATTTTTGGCTTTTTTCGGCAGTACTGAAGCTGGAACAATCATCACTATGATGGCGGCTGAATTCATCTCGAACCCAAGCACATTATTTCTCGAAGCATTTCTTTACTTGCCTAATTGTCTAACCATCAGAGCAGGTAAAGGCAATCCAGTCGGCAGTTGTAGTCATAAAAAGAAAGTATAATAGCTCAGTTAGTTCCATTCTTGATAATCATACACATTAGACTTGCCGTGCGTGGGCGGATTCTAATGTAACCATAGTAACAGTGATCTGATTAGGTCGACCAAATTCCGCCAGACAAGCACGAGTTGATGTTAGGCGTGAAACCAGACTCTATTCTAAAAATTGAGTCTGGCCCCGCGAGACTAGTACCATGATTAGTTAGTTGTTGACCACACCCATAGCTTATTTTAATTTATCATTATAACTCTGCAGTCAATAATAATAATTTTTTTTCAAATTGCTTAAAATATCACAGTACAAGTAATACATATCACTCAGGTGAATTCCAGCAGGCGAGTCCATTGCACCATAGTGCTTCATTAATAATGTTAATTGCTTTATTCTTTGAATTTCATCTTGTTGGTCTAAGATTATTATTAGTTGCAATGATTCATTATGATTACACAAAAATTGTGGAAGATATACACTGAAACTACTTAAATGTAATTAGTGTAATTGTAATGTATGTACATGTAGTTGTTAATGTTTAATTTGTTATCTTAATTAGTCTGGCACTTACATGTTCTGTATCATATAAGCACTATGCAGCACATTCTAGACTGTTCCATGCATGCACATTCACTATGGTTTCAGAATATTCTTATGTTACACTATATATTGATTTGTGCAAGTCTGTCAGTCGGTCCTTTTGTGTATGATAAAGTCATTTCATTGAATATAGTTGAGAAACTATCATTAGCTGTCATACCAAAAGTACTCATCAAAAATAGTTGTCAGGAAAATTTGAGGAAATTGAGAATTCTCTCCTAGTCGTTTTAAATAAAATAATCCAATTGGGGCGAGCCCGATGGCGGCTATCAAAACAGAAAATTCTTGAGCTTGCAAGTCAGTGAGGTCAGCAAGATAAGACTGTACTGCTATCCAATGCAGCAAGGAAGGCTAAAAAAACAGATTATGCCATTTCTTTATTGATGTGACTAAATTTGATCAAGTGAATGTCAGTAACTTAGCCTGTACTGAGCACTTTAAGCATAGCAAGAAGCCAAAAACTACATTTAGACTTGCCTATCTATAGCTATATCATTTGTGCAATGACTGCTTGTACCTATCTTTAATGCTTGCATGCCAAGTGCTATAAGCAAGGTACTAACTTTCACTGCTGCAGAGATCACAGAAGGTAGATCCATCAAGAACTGCATGCAGTGCATGATCTACATCAAGTTCTGAGCTGCTTAGTTCACAAGCACAATCATGCATGAGTATTGTTAATCTGTCAAGATTTATTGTATATATGTACATTGATTTGCTTGCTAAGGCTCGCTCCTTCAATGTTTTACATTTGTCTAGTTGTATATAGTTTTAATTAGATAATAGCTTTTTAAATTTCTAATCAGAATTTGTGAAAACAAGCGTATACGCATTAGTGGCCCCAGGATTTACACAATTTTAATACCTCAAACATCAAAGAGAATTATTCACGAGTTGTTTATATGTATATACTCTATTACTCTCTCTCTCTCTACATGGACAAGAAATGAAGGTAGGAGGATTAATCATTGCTAAAATCTGATCTCATGCCACATCCACAAGACTACACTGTGATTATTAAATCCACTCATAAAGTTGTATTCTTATTTCACACAAACTATGTTAAAGAAATTGATGCACTAAAACGTTAAAGGGTTATATTAATTAATTCTAGTACATGCATTCATTGTGGCATATGCTCATAGACAACTTCAGGTGATGCTTGACATTCATCATAAACTCCTTCATTCTCTTCACTTTGTTTAGTCTTGTGGATTCCACATGGTTCACATACTTGCATTGAAATATCATCATCAGCTCTATTATTATTGTTATTAATAAGTAACTTTAAAATAGACTAACTTTGCTTGTTTATTGATAGCACATAGACTTTTTATTCTATAGCAAAAACAATTGCAATTCATAATACTGAGTATGTAAACTCTACCTTAGAAAGCAGTAGATATAAACAATAACACTGACAGCTAGCAGACCACACAATATACCCACTAACACACTAAGAGCAATAACACTATTGGATGAGTCACTAGTTGATGATAATGGTGGTAGAGTTAATGTCTCATTAGCAATAACTGTCCATTCTCCATATCCATTATCAGTGTATGCACGTACACCAATAATATAACAAGACTCGTCAATAAGACCAGTAATGACAATAAATGTATTGTCATTAGTTAAATTATGGAATTGTAATATTTGGGATATAATGTTATTATCATCAACCATCAAACAGTTACCAGACTACATGTAAGATATGATATCCTATCTCAAATGTGATAATGGGATAGTCTGATGGTACAATTTCATTTTCACTAGACTAGTTGATACTACATTCCTGGTTACACCTCCAGTAGTATACTCAATCACATATCCATTAGCCTCTGATGAATCGGTCCAATTCACTTGGACACTACTATATAGCATTAATATAAACCCTCTCACATTATTTGGATGACCACTAGGAGCTAAAAAAGAAACAAAGGTATCTACTATTGATTAAAGTATAACCATACCATGTAATATCACAGATTGATTGTAATTGACTCCTCCAATCATTACTATACAGGTAACATTAACTGACACTCCCAGTGGATCAGGATATACCAGTAGTGTGCTGTTGCACAGGGCATATTGTATGCATTACATTACTCTTCATCACTCCATTTACTAACCAGTAAACATCAGTTAAAGGATTTATATCAGTAGTTGTGAAGCAATCAATGCAATATTGAGTGTTATTGAGTCTTGAATTAATAACTAGAGTCTAGAAATGCATCAACAATGTTAATAGTACATTAAATGGTGCAATAAACACACACCATCTGTTACAATAACTTGTAGGGCCCATACTACTGATCATAGAATTGTGTCATCTATGGCATATGGTGGGTGTATGTGTAGTGTGTGGGTTGGTAGGAGTGTTATAGGGAAGAGAACAACACAGCAAAATATTGTCTGACTTATAAGCAATTTTCTGTTGATAAGGAGACTAGCTAGACCTTTCTTATTACTCTTACTGGTAGAATGACTACTGCTGGTATTTTTTGGTGTCTTGTGTTGATTGATTTTATTTTGATATCATCTAGAGCAGAGCTAGTTCAAACCTCTCCATCTTATACCCCACTGTGTCCTGGTGATGGACTAGTACTCACTTGTACAACTACCATGGAAAGTACATTTTAGAGAATACCTGGTCATAGCTCTGTATCAGAACCTATACCATTGTCTGGCACAGTTGTTGAAGGTCTTATGCTTAACTATACTAATATCAATGGTAGTACAGTAACAAGTGCTGGTAT